ACTAGGTGGCAGGACACCTAGAAAACATCATTATCATAATTATTATTTTGCCATACATTTCAGTATATTTATATGTCAGACCTAAAAACCTCAGAATGTAATTTGTTATTAAATCAGATTCTGGTTAATACAATATAAAAATGCAAATGTACAAGGCAAATTTATATTTAATTATCTTTAAATCATATAAGGAAATTCACTGATGCATTTCCCTTGCAAGTTGGAAAAATTCTTTCAATGTGCTTTTTGTGTGGAGACATCTTACAGTCAATAAGTAGTGATTGATCCTCTTTGTGTGTGTGTGTGTGTGTGTTGTGTGTGTGTGATGGATGGGACTGGGGTGTGAACTCAAGGCTTTGAGCTCACAAAGCAGGTGCTCTACCTTTTAAGAACACCTCCAGTCCATTTTTCTCCAGTTATTTTGGAAATGCAGTCTTGTGAACTATTTGCTTGGGCTGGCTTGGAACCATGATCCTCTTGATTTCAGCCTCCCAAGTAGCTAGGATTACAGGTGTGAGCCACCAGCTCCTGGCTTGATCCTATTTTTACTTTTTTTTTTGGCTATCCTAAGGGAGACAGCCTCAGGCTTCAGTTTTCTGCCTTTTCAGAGCTGTTTACTCACACTGAAGCTGGAAGCAGCAGATTCCTCATGTTGAAATTCTGAGATGAACTATGTGGTGAATTGCACTCTTCTGCCTTTCCTTCAGGGTCATTGACTCAGATGCAGGCCCACTAGGTTATCTGACATCCCATGTCTTTTTTTTTTTTTGGCAATAGGATTTGAACTCAGGGCTTTGCTCTTGCTAGGCAAGTGCTGTATCGCTTGAGCCATGCCTCCAGCCCTCATGTATTGTTTTAAGAGAATTCATCTTTATGAGAATACTGCATCTCTCACCTTTAACCTGAGCCTGAAAGTCACCACAGCCAATGAATAAATAGCTGGCTAACTCTCTTGTGACAAGTGGAAGACCAAGGGATGTACATATACACAGAAGGAGAAGTAATTTTTTAGCTCTCTTGAGAAACAGACAGAAAAGAATAGTTGTGTTTGTTAAAAACTTAGTCACAGTGCTGAGGTTTGGATGTGGCTTGAGTGTGGTCCCCAAGGGTCATGTGTCAGAAGCTTGATCCCTAGTATGCTGAGAGGTAGCAGCACCTTTAAGGTATGAGACCTAGTTATTAGTTCTTAGGTCATTGAGGGAGCTACCCTCAGAAGGGAATAAAGTAGCTCTCATGAGACACCTGAGTAGTTCTAAGAGTGGCTTCCCATTTGGGGATGTGGTTACTTGTTCTCATAGTAACTTCCACCATTGTGAGGCCATCCTACTATGTAAGGTCATCACCAGAGCCAAGCCATTGCTGGTACTGGTGTAGCATAATGGAAAAAATTAAAGGGAAGATTGGCTTACATAAATCACCTTATCCTTAAAACCTCAATTTTGTTCTTTAAAATTCACAAACTAGGTGGCAGGACACCTAGAAAACATCATTATAATAATAATAATTATTGTTATTTTGCCAAACATTCCAGTATGTTTATATGTCAAACATAAAAACCTCAGAATGTAATTTGTTATTAAATCAGATTCTGGTTAATACAATATAAAATGCAACTGTACAAGGCAAATTTATATTTAATTATCTTCAAATCATATAAGGAAATTCACTGATGCATTTCCCTTGCAAGTTAGGAAAACTCTTTGAATTTGCTTTTGAACCTCCAGCACCTCTTTTCTTTATAATGTTACCTGCCTCAGGTATTTCATTATAACAACAGAAAATGAACTAATATGGTTTCATTCAAACAGGAATATAGATATATTCATATGGGTAGAAATAAAGGCAATGATTTCTCATTTAGTGTTTAGCATTATGGCAATTATCTGTTGAATTCTTGAAATATTGATTGAACATACCTATAAAACCAGACCAGTTGGGCCCTCTGTGAAGGGTTCATCTTTGACTACTTTTATAATGTCTTCTTTCCAGGTATAGAGTTAAAAACTTAACCTTGTCCAAAGAGAGGCCTGGTCTTTGCCCTTGACTCCTGGGAGGTAGTCTCTAAGTCTTTGAATGTCCTGATTTAGCCATGCCAGACAGTCTATGCTAGCAGTATGATTTTTGGTGCGGACTTTGGGCCATGTAGCATCATCTCAACCTCTGAAGGAACCAGAGACTAAGGTCAGCCATGTGCATGGTGAGCTCATATGTGTGTGACCAAGTATAAAACTCTAGACACTAAAGCTTGGAAGCTTTCTGCTTGGCAATACTTCATGTGTATTGTCACACCTAATTTCTAGGAGAAGCAGGTGCTGTCTGCACAATTCCACCAGAGAGAACAGCCAGAAGCTCTGAGCGTTGACTCTTGGTTTGGCAGCCTCCTGTACCCGGCCTTATGTTCCTCTTCCTATGGTTCATTTTCATCTGTATTTTTTGCTTCAGTAAACCCTAACCAGCTATAGATAGCATTCAGGGAATTCTACGAGTTTTTCTAATGAATTAACAAAACCGAAGGTGGACTTGGGGACCCCAAACTTACAAATCATCTCAGAGGTGAGTGGTCTTCGGGACTTGTGAACTTTGCAGTTGGCATCAGAAGTGGGATTTGCTAGAATGACCTTGGCTCACTGTAACATGGTGAAAGCATGGTTTAGGAAAAGGAAGGATGAGAGGGAGGGGTTGGGGAACCTGTGATTCCTAGATGGCTGATGACCTTCAAGTGCTCCTGTTTGAGTCCCCTGTCCCTGATATCCAAAGACCTAGGGAATATATATGGGAAATAGAACTATAGTAGTCTCTGAATTTATGTGGACTTTGTAGGGTATTGGATTTTTATGATAAAGGGGCTAAATTGCATGGAAGTACCCCAAGAACTTTGCGGGGAAAGGTATAAACACCACGAGGCAGGGACTTTTGGGGATGAGCTCGCTGTTACAGCTCAGCAGGAATTGAAGTGCCTTCTCTAGAGAATTCATTCTTTGAGTACTTAGTGATCTATTGACCAATATGAAGGACCAGGCTCTAGAAACACTAAGCTAATGGGAACATCAATTTTATGATGAAGTGTTCAGTGCTAGATAGGGAAGTATGTAGAAAAAACAGTAGTAGAGCTTAAGGAACACAGACAGACAGACACAGGTGGTACTGCTGCTCCCAGTTCAGTTTCTGGAGGATGGCAGGTCATCCACAGGCTTGATGGGAGGATGAAGGTAGTGGTGGGGCCAGATTGTTGAAGCAGATTTTCACTGTTTACCTCCAATGGTTGGACCTTGTCCTCCATCGGTCATGACAGAAATTTACCCTTTTTGCATTATGTTTTGAGCACCACTTCTCAAAGTCAAGGATATTGTTAGATCAATTCTGAGGAAACTCCCAAGGGTTGAGGGCTACCTCTTGGGAGGAGATAAAATAGAAAAGAGATGATAATCATTAGATTAACTGGAAAAGCTATTCAGGCCTATTTTTTTTTTAAACTTACTTTAGTCTATTTGGACTGTAGAAAGAAAATATTATAATTTGGGTAGCAAATAAACAATGTAAGTTTATTTCTCATAGTTCTGAAGGTTGGAAGTCTGAGGTCAGGGTGTCATGATGGGCAGGTTCTGGTGAGGCTCTCTTCTGGGATGCAGACTTCTTGCCGTGTCCTCACCTGCTGGAAGGAATGAGCAAGCAAGCTTTCTGGGACTTTTCAAAAAAAAATTTTTTTTTAAATAAGGGCATTAATCTTAGTCAAGAGAGCATTGTCTTCCCAAAGACCCACTTTGTAATCCTAATACCATCACATTGGTGATTAGATTTCAAGGTATGAATTTTGGGTGGACATAAACGTTCATCAAATGTTCGTACCAAAGTTTCATATGCTTATTCTCTGGGGTAGCTGTTAATTGATCCTGAGAACTATTTTGAGAAGAAAGGGAGTCAAGTATTGCTGATCTCAAAGACTCAGAGAGTAACTTGGTTGGCATCGCACAGGTTGTAGGTTGCTGAACTGAAGCTCAAGTCTAAGACTTTGACTTCAAATCCAGTGTTCTGTCAAGAACACCACTGCTGCTTCCATTGGCAGCCAAAGGTCTCAGTCTGCCTTGTTCTTGCCCTGCTTCAGACAGTGTGACTGGAGATGGATCAAAGCATAGAGAAAGAGAAGGGTGGACTTGGAGGGAACTGAAAATATTTATTGCCAAGGGAAAAGCAGAAGAAGGAGGAGTGGACCCTGGAGTGTGACCTTGAAGCAAAGTGTTCTGGGAGAGGTGAGATGCCACTGTTTTCATCCTTCTATGGGAGTCCAAAGAGATCTGAAGCAGCCTGGTCTTTCTGGAAGGTGACAACCAGGGAGAGGGGGAGCAAAAATGAGTCTATGTCCTTTTTGTGTGAAGGAAGAGAGGAAGGGAGGGAATATAGAAGCACAGATAGGAAACTTGGAGCAAAACAAATTCTTATGCAAAAATATACTTTGCATGTGCTTAAACTTTGCTATCAACTTGCATAGAATTCCCAATTTGTTAGATTTTTCTAGTACCCCAAATGTTGGGTCTCTTAGAAGTCACTCAACACTATTCTCTTCTTCAACACTATTATGCATTTATCCAGGGCTCTGCTTCTGAGCCTATACCCTCCCAAACCCTCTTCCTTTCACCTCCCCAGTGTATGTTGGTTCAGGACAGACTGTGATGATGGCTGTTTGGTCCCCATTTAGGTCTTTCAGTATTGCCAGTAGGATGGCGGAAATTGGAATGTTTCTTGGGCAGGTACCCTTTGAATGAAGCTACTGGAGTTCAGGCAGAGCAAGGGATAAGGGTTTGAAGCTGGTTTTGATGACTCACTGTGAACTCTGAGCACTTGCCCACTTGAGGCAAACTGTAAGACCAGGTCTAGGGACGGAGGCTTTCTCAGTGGCCTTGTCAGCTTGCAGCAGAAGTGAACAGCCTTGAGTTGAGGAAATTGTGGCTGGACAGGCAGTGAGGCAGTTCTGCTCTACCTCACCTTCCTGGCTGACTGGTGGCTGCTGTGCGTAGCTGAGCTCCCAAGGGGGAGAGGGGCCCATTTAACCCCTCTGTCCTATGGGAATGTTGGAACACACTGTCACCTTTGTACTCCTCCTGCTTCTCAAGGGGCACCAAGGCCAAGGTAAGGAGTCCCAGCCTGGTATGGGTGGAGACTAGCAAGGACTCAGGGATGTGCCCCTCTGGGAGCCCAGAGCCAACTACATGGTGACCTGGGAACAAGAGGAGAGATGAAGGGGAAGTGATCTAGGTCATTTAGCTCAGGTAGGGCATTGTCAATGCATGGCTTTTATTCTGTGAAATGGGAAGCCTTTGAAAGACTTTTGCTAAGCTGGAGATTACTATGTGCACTGGGGCTTTGCACCCCGCCCCCATGGCTTTCTCTCCCTGGGTGTTACTTCTGTATTGCTAGTGGGTTTGCTTCTTTACCCCTCCTCTGTTTTGCTTAAATACCACCTTCCCAATGATGCCTTCCCCACTGAAAATGTCAGCTTATCCTCCTACAGTGCCTTATCTTTTGCTCCACTTAATTTTTCTCCATAGTTCCCATCTCTCTTTGTATGCCACCTGCTTTGTTATTTATTTTCTGTCTCTCAGTCTTCTCTTCAGCCCACTAGAATGTAAGGTCTTTGAGATCAGGACTTGCATCTATTTTGTTCACTACTTCATCAGCATCTAGAACATATAGTTTAATCCGCTTTCCACAAATACTTATTTCCACAGTAAGAACCCCCTCTCTATTTCCAGTTGCTCCCTGAGTCTGTTTTGAGTAAGTCTGTACTGTACGGGGCTAGGCACTGGGGATTTAAGGGTGAATACGTTTATGACCTCTTTGTGGAGCTCACACTCTGTCATTTGAATGCATTGGAAACCACAGCCATGGCTATTGCACAACACCATGTCTCATAGAGCAGGTGGTCAAAATATATTTGTTGAGTGAATACTTGAGCTTTTTTCCAGCATTATAGAGGTAGACTTGGATGATTTTTATGTGGGAATATATGGAAGCAGGGATCATCAAATCATTACTCATAGGATGGACTTGAGACCTAAGTTCTTTTTGGATCTTAGATTTAGGCTTTGGTTGTCCAATCTAAGGAAAGCCCAAGGGACAGTCTAGAGGCTGTGAATCCCCAGGTGTTTCAGGGCCAAAATAAGAGGGTGGGGGCTGGGGCAGTGTTTCGCCAATTAGCCCTAAGGGAGTGGTCTCAAATTGCTACTGTTCAGATGGGAATCCTGGTAGGCTCTAGAAGGCTGGAGTCGTCTTCACTCATTTCTTCCTTACTGTACCTCCTCTCAAACCAACTGTGAATGGCAAAAAGCTGGCACAGGGGAGAGCACTGGAGTCAGAGAAGCCTGACCGCAGCACTACCCTGAAGGGAATTCAGCTGTATGGAAGCCACTCCAGAGATAGGCCAGGCCATTTCTTTATGAGCAAACTCTTTTCATTAAGGTGCAACTTGTATACAGAAGAGTGCAAAAATTATAAATGTACATTTCAGTGCATTATTGTTGGAACTACCACATGTTCTCTCCCATCCGTTACCCCCTCTCTCTTCCACAAATATAAACGTTACTCTGACATCAAACAGCACAGGTTAGTTTTGTCAAATTTAAATGGAATTGGTTGGTATGTACTCCTGTGTCTGCCTTCTTTTGCTCAATACCGTATGAGGGTTATTTATGTTACTACTTGTAACCGGTCATTTGCATGGCTGGAAAGTATTTCCTTGTGTGCTTTATACTATAGTCCATCCATCCTATTATTGAAGAACATTTGGGTTGTTTCCATTTTTAAAAATTGTTATAATAATGCTGCCATGAGCCTTTTGTACAGGCGTGTCTGTTGAGAGTGTTTCCAGGGTACAATCATGGGGTGTGTGTATTCATGGGGTAGTCAATCCAAAGTGGCTGAACCAAGCAGTGCATGGAATCCCACGTTGCTTCAGATCTACTGGCCTTTTGTTCTGAGGGCCTGCAGCTGGGAATTGAAATCGCAGTGATGTGGAACATGGAGGGGAGAGGCCAAAGCCAAGAGAGTCACATCTCTGTGGCTTCTCTGCTGTTCTGCATAAATTGCTACATGAGAGTCACTATTGGGAGTTAAATGAGAAGCTTTCTTGAATGAATGAATGAATGAAACAGATTCATTAAGATTTTTTTTTTTTGTGGTACTGGGGTTTGGACTCAGGGCCTACACCTTGGCCACTCCACCAGCCTTTTTTTATGATGGGTTTTTTTGTGATAGGGTGTCATGAACTCTTTGCCTGGGGTGATTTTGAACTGCACTTCTCCTGATCTCTGCTTCCTGAGTAGCTAGGATTGCAGGTGTGAGCCACTGGTGCCTGGTGAGCCCTTACTACCTTCTAAGAATGATATAAAGTTTTGTTGGGAAACAGAGGTGAAACAGATGTTGATTCTATCCATGAGAATTTTTCAGATTAGGACTGTGGCATAGCTCAAGTGGTAGAGCACTTGGAGGCCCTGGGTTCAATCCCCAGTCACACACACACACACTCACACACACACACACACACTCATTCAGACAGAGGAAAATAGGTATGTACAGTAACAACTACAAGGGAAAGTAGAAAGTGCTTAGTATCTATCAGGCAAGAAACATTTAGAGAAAAAAGGGGACTGAGAAGATGGAGATTTCTTCTAGCTTGGGACATTAGGGAACTGGCCTTGAAGAGCAAGGATTCAGGAGACAGGGATAAGCAGAACAATCCAGGCAGAGGAAACAGCCTAAACCAAAGCAAGGAAAACACAGGGCTTGGTTGGGAGGCACGAAAGGCAAGCACAATATTTATCTTGGAGGAAAATAGCACTGGGTTCTAGATGAGATAATTCAGCTAACTGGTGCAAGGACTAGGACATGGGCCAGATCAACTTTGATAGAGGGAAGGGCGTTGCTTTGCCTGAGGAGAGGAGTTAATGTGGTCAGTAGGAAGCTAATTTTAGAGGAAAAAGGAAGTAGGCTGCCAGCTGTGAATGATGCATTATGATTTTATACGTTTGCCTTGACTAGGGTGGGCCCTGCCTTGGTTGGCACTTTGGGGATCTCATGAGGCTCTTTTCACTTAGTTCTTAGCAGGGACTACCTCTGTTGCCTGCCCCCCAAGCCTAGTAGACAAGCCCAAGCTGAGTGAACCTCAACATCCTTTTGTTGGCTGGTGGAAGTTGTCTTTTGAGACTTTCCCCTGTCCCCTCTCCCCAGGGCTCAGGAAACTGAACTGACTCTTGCTTTGGAGGCTGTAGCTCCTGTCAGTGGACTGAGCCTTGTTTCCTGATGGTCACATGGTCTTGATCATTCTTTGTACTTACTGCCCACTTCTTCCTGGGGCTGCAGTAGAGTTCACCACCTGTCCTCTGCCCTCCCTCTGCACGCTATTATTTACCTCATCCGTTCTTAACCACCGGAAAAGAGCCCCCCCCCGGCTGCTGAGCAGTAGCAACAGCAGTGGCTGTGGTCCCCGGGCCTTCCCTGACCACCGAATCTACTATAGCCTCTCTCTTCTGAGTAACCATACCGATGTGGCTCCTCTTCTCTCTCACTTTAAGCACACGAGAACTGGTGTTGAAGTTATCTTTTTCACATTGGCATTTCTTATCTCTTCCCTTGACACGTCCACTTCTCTGGGGGCAGGGACTGAGGTAATATTTGCCTTTCCACTGTATCCACCTATAGCCTGGCCCCCCATCCTCAACTAGCCCATCTGTGGAGCTCTCCCCAGTCATCTCTCTCTTTCCCACACTGGGCTGTTGAGGGCTGCAAGAGAAAATGCAGCAACAGAGAGCAGATAGTCACAGCCTCCAAGGGCTGGACCCTCAGGCTCCTGAGTCCCCAAAAGATGACTCCAAACCATTACCATCTCTTTATGGCCTGGTCACCATCACGGTCACTAACAGCTGACAACCTCCTCTGAGAAATCGGAGACTCCAGTTAGGGATTTGTCCAAGCCTGTCAACAGTTCCCCGATGTCAGCCTACCTCATCACTTCCACAAACTGCTACTCTTGCCCCTGTTCAGGGCGACGGTACTCTTGTCCTGTCCCTGGCCAGTGCTGGCTTTCCACCTTAGGTCATTTTCCTCCCATTGGAAAAACCAAGCCAACAAACCAAAATGACACTTAGTGATCCCCCAGCTCCTTTTAAAATTTGTGGACAAAGCCATCTTAAGTATATAAACCAATTCTATATTACATAAAAATAAAATATAAGTTTTAAAATGACCCCAAGTGTCATACAGCATCAGAGCTATTGTAGGTTACATATTTGTTTTTTTTTTGTCTTTTCAGAATACCTTATGATTTTTATAGAAGATTTGCCTTTTCTCTGCATATTTAAAAAAATGATAAAATATAAAACGTTTCAAAAACTAAAGATAGTAGAAGGAAAAATGATAGAGTTCTTTCTGCCTTGTCTTCTGAACTTCTCAATCTAACTATTTTGGAAGACTAAATGGATCTTTCTAAAGTGAAACTTGATTCTTTAAGTACTGAACAGTCTAGTTAATGACACTTTTCCTGTATAATCCATATTTAATTTTGTGATAGTGGAGAACTACGTTTTTCTATGTAGACCTCCATGTTCTGATCTGCTATTGGTTACCCAAAAGTTTATAATTATTTATTATATTGTATGTTTATATATTAAGCACCTTTTAACATTTGTGCTACCTCTCACAGTTTTATACCCACTACAAACACCTAAAAAATTAAACTCATGTCTGTCACTCCACTTTCCAAACCTGCTGAAGAGAGCTTTGCGGCCACCCTACCAGACCCATGACAATATGTGGGTGCCTTTACCCATGCTGCTGTGACTGTAATACCCTCTTCCCTCCTCCTTCCTCCACCCACCGTGTAAGCCCTGAACTTTTCAATGGCAGTTCCTGGGCACCTCCTCTGAACAGTCACTCCTAATGCCCCAAGGCAAAGAAAAGCTATCCTTCTGCCCACCATCACACCTTGGGGATACCTCCATGATACCTCTCCCAATACATCTTACTTGGCTGTTTTAGATTTATCTTTCTCTAGATTATAAGCATTTTAAAACAGGGATTAAAACTTTTCTTTTATGTCTTGACCCAATGCTCTTAATAACCTCACTCTTTAAAAT